AGTCCTTATCATTCAAGAGGTAACGGTCTTGTCGAAAGAGGTGTACAAATAATAAAGAACATCTTAAGGAAATGTAGTTTGGATAACTCAGATATTCAACTTGGACTGCTTAACTATAGAAATACCCCAAGAAACGACATATTACAATCACCTAATCGAAGACTTTTCAACCGAATAACTATATCACTAATACCACCTTACGGCGACAATTTGAATCCTAAAATTCTGTTCAATATTCCGAAACAGTTAATGAAATTACGTGAAATAAAACGAATTTATACGAGTCAACATGCAAAAGAAAATAAAAGTTTGCAAGTTGGTGACAACGCACGTTTTGAAAAAGAAAATAGAACCAGGAAAGGTAATGAAAATCACAGATAATACAAGATGAAGTTATTATTCAGAAAGAGGATGAAAAATGTATCAGAAAGAACACTGGAATAATCAGAAAAAGTAAAGCAGAGCTCGAGAAGAAAAGAAAAAAATATCACATTGCATGGAGCATAACCAGGTATTTTATTTATATGAAACATGTGTTAATGCTGGACATACAGTAATAAAAATTTGGCAAGATACCACCATCAACTAAAAAAGAAGCCTTAATGTAAGGGGTCTCTTGTGAAAAAAATATAACAGGAAAAGGAAATCGTTTAATAATAATAGGAAAATAACTATAGTATCAAAAATATTTCTATTTTTTTGCGATCTAATGAAAACAAAGTTGCAAATTTTAAATTTAATTTCCCTCCATTATTGGAAAATGTGTCCTTGATCGTTTTCTTCTGTGTTTTTCACTGCGATTACTTGCCGGAAAGCTAAGTATCATCGGCAAGATTGTTGTAATTAAATATCCAATGTTTCTTTCGGTAAACACAAGTAACACGTGAAACCTAAAATATAAGCATTTCATAATAAATCCAAATTAAATGCCATTTTATGATTCTGTCTTAACTGCCTACTCAACAAATCACAGTCATAAAAAACAATTAATTCAACAAAGTTTTGATTCGTGTTGATGTGAGCATCAATTTGCGGACCACCCGGTAGAAAAAACGGCGCAAAACAATAGACAGGCTGACAACTTTACGACCAAATTAGCAGAAGGCAAAAACTCGTTTTCTTGATGAAAATATTTCGAGATTTAATCTTGTGAATGGAACGAATACGAACGATCGGGTTACTCGTGTCGTCGAGGGCCATCTTCAAATCGAATTAAATCCGCATTTCGGCCAGTTAACGAAACATTTTGTGTTTGCTAATCCGAGAAATTCGTGAATTATCATTCCAATTTTGGATGTTAATAATGAAATGTTTTCTACTAAGTATAAAGTTACGAGAGTCCTTAAAAGTTTTTAAATTGAATTTATTATATAAGAACTGGAATAAAAGCCAACTTACTGACTTAAGGAGGACTGTTTTATTGTAGAGCAAAATGTGGCACTAAATTAAGATTTTCAGTGTTATTCGTATTTATTTTTAACATTGGAAAAATCGGAGTCTACAAGGAAAAAAGACGCGCTGTCGAGGTCATGTGACGTAATAAATATAGCACCAAGTAGCACCGAACGGTTTTATTCAGTACTTCAAGGATGCTTTAAAACTGTAAAATAAAACTGCAATTAAAACCAATTAGTTTTAAAAGGAGCCTTAAGGTTGTAATAAATACGCCTTCAGCATAAAAGGGCCCACTCTGAAAGAGGTCAATAAACCAAAAATAAAAACCACCATAAAACTATATTACCTTGAACAACTGATTTTAAAGCTGCTGTGAAGACCCTTTTAAAACCACTTTAAATACATTTAAACACACGCGGTTTTGAAGTGGATTTAATAATGTTAATTACATGAAAATAGTTTTTTAAAACTATATACATAATTCTTTTAGCAAATAAAAGCAATTTATATTTGAAGATGATAATATAGTGACGCTCTAACCATGGACTATAAAATAATAAAAAGTAAGGTAGTGATTTCGGAAAATCAGGATAGAAATATATACTGCGCACGCGACTTTATTGATAAATGTTAACAAAAAAGTCTTAAAAAACTTAAGGCCCTTAAAATTTCTGAAGTTTTATAATCCAAAAAAACAATTGAAAAATATAAATTAGAAAGAAAAATAATTTTATCTATTATTTTAGATTTTTCTGTATTAAAAGAAATCAAAATTATACGTTTAAAAGAGGTTAACTTGTCGTTTTTATGTTAGCCTAAATACTTTTATCTATCATGGCTTCCACTATCTCGAGAAAGTAAAATTGCCGGAAATTAAATAAAACTGTTTAGTTAATGGACAAGGAAACATTAGGATCAAAGAGTTTTATTTAATTGAGTTTATACTGTTCCAAGAGCACATATCCTAGATAAAAGAAAGGTTCGCTTGTGATTTAAACGGTTTAGTTTTAATGTGGCTGTGATAAATGCCGCTCGGTTTTAATGTAGGCATAACTTTAAAATCTCTGTGTCATAACAGTCGTTTGTGATTTGTGTATTTTTAGATTAATAATAATAATATATTGTTTTCAGTTTTTCTAATTATTGTAGTTATATACCTGTTTTGACATGATACAAAATGCGGGGTTCATTTGGGCCACGTAAAAATAGGGAATGCATTTAATTTTATTATTTCTAACAAAAAGTACAGTTTGTCTTTACGATAACCAAATTGATTTAGTTAAGAGCGTTCTGTTTTAATATAGCTATCTAATTGCATTTAAGAAAGCCGTTGTAAGGAAAAGTAATGAAATAGTTTTAAAGCGCAATATTTACTGACCAAATTTTCCTAAGATCAAGCAAATTTAATAATAGGTTTTATTAGTTACATTAACAATCTCTTTAAAACTACTCAAAAACTAGAACATAATGAAACCAAAACACCTGCCAGTCGTTCATAAAACTTAGTAGTTTTAAAGTTAATTGAAACTAAACCATTTTAAAACTACAACAAGACATACAAACTTTTAAGATTAGTTGGCCTTATTAGCAAATCTTATAAGATACTTTAAAACCAGTAGTAAATGCTAAACGGCTTTTAAGTGCCCGCAGTATATCTACAAGTTAACTTTAAAACCAGTATCTCCTTATTTACCACACTAAAACCATTTTAAAATTGAAATAAACCCAAAATGTTTTTATGGTACTACTTTGCAGCCAATGTACCTATGACGAATTAAGATGAGCAATAAGAACTTATATTTCTCTAACTTTTGAAGTGAGCATATCGGCAAATCCAATCGCTGGGAAATTCGTCGTTCCCATTTTGTTACTATGGATTCTAAATTTCGGAAAGCAGGTATAATACGAGTAATAAGTTTTTCGCGCTCGCCTCTATTATTCTGTCGCCATTTTCTAGATTAAATTGTTTAGTAGAGGATTTTGTAGTTTTTGATTTTTAGTTTTAAATGGCGTAGACTGTTTACAAATATTCCTGTAGATAAGTGAGGTTTACTCAAAAAAAAAAAGTTTATTATATTCCAAAAGTAAAAATAGTTCTTAAAATCGATAAAAAATCAAGTTTGTCTCTATATCCTATCGGAAATAATAAATTTTCTAATCTTTCAAGACTGTATAGTCATAAATGGCACAAAATTATGTAAACATTTATTTATTTCGGTTTGATAATCCAAACCTATTAATTAAAATAAGCTAAGGCCAGGTCATCGTTTGTTGGAAGTATTATCTATAATTATCTATAATTATCTATAATTTTTGTTTTATGCAAAATTTTCCTAAAATTATTATTATTCGAGAAATTTGACAAAATGTAAAAAAAAATAATTTTTTATAAAAATTGTTTAAATAAAAGTTGTTTGTAATTTAATTCTCTATAATTTTTATTCTTTACATAATTTCTCTGAAATGGACCGTATTCGAGATATTTGAGAAAATGTGTAAATTTCGAATTTTGAAGAAAACTCAAAAACGGATGAAGAAAAAAACATTAAATTTTAAACTTAAGGTTTATTTCGGCCTGACGTGAAATGGTTAGATTTTGGACATAGTCGGAACATCTGGGGGGTACTTTATGGGAGGACACTTTTATATTTTATGGAATATATCTGTTATTAATGTTTGGAGAAAAAAATTGTTCAAATAAAAGTTACTTCTAATATTATTATCTATAATTTTTGTTTCATGTAAAAATTTCCTGAAATGGTCCGTATTCGAGAAATTTGACAAAATGTGCAAAATTCTGATTTTTATGAAAGTTTTTAAAATAAAAGTTGTTTGCGATATTGATCTCTATAATTTTTATTTATACATGATTTTTCTAAAATGGACCGTAATGAAAAAATTGTAGGAAATTTAAATTTTTCAGTATTTTCGTTTTCCATGAATATCTATAGAAAATGTTTCGAGGTAGATGTATGTGGACAATGTATATATTTAGTTTATCCTCTAAACATTTATAGAGATGCTGCAATAGGTTGTACAAAATAACCGGAAAAAGCTTATAATAACTAGATAGGAAAGTCATGTGTTGGACACATCAGATTTTTTTAAGAAAGATGGTAATGATTTGGTGTCCACGAAGTTGATGACAGCATAAAAAAATATTATTTGAAAATATTTTATTATAAAAGTATCAAAAACAAAATAAAAAATTATTTTATAAAAACTTATATTAATAATCTAGACCTTATTTTGGTCACATCTAATATCATCGTCAGTTTTCAGTCAACATATTCAGCCATGGACGGAACTGAATAAATATTTCTAGTTTTAAGGTTGGGAGGATCAATCTTTTTAACAATATCACTAAATTTGTACCATAGACAGTCTTCGTGTACAGGCCATTTCCAAGAAGTGCACATACATCCATATTTTTCTATACAACTAACCACTGCACCAGAGTCTCGAATTTCTATTATTTGACCTAGAAAAAAAGGAAGATCCATATTTTATGACAACAAAGTCGTGCGTTTCCCAGACTATTTTATTATCTTAAATCTCATCACTAACAGTAGGACTTTTCATCAGTGAAAGAAGAAGCTTTTCACCTAAGTGGTAGTGATCTTGTAGAATGCAAACAGTCTTCTGAATAATACGGTATTAGATTTATTTGCATTCCAAGTTATTTGATAAATGGCCATAATTATTTTGAAAGCTTTGAGATCATTTGAAACTGAGCATTCGCTATCAATTTTTTGAAAAGAGTCTTCAGTGACAACTTGTAACTGAATTCCAGAGCAACGATTTGATACTTGCTCAACTAGACATTTAGGATCAGGAATATCTTCTCCTAAAGCCACTAATCGATCAGCAGTTCGTTTTATCACTCCGCCAATACCGTCTAGAGCTCTCTTTCCATGACCTGCTTAAAAAAAAATTTCAAGTCATGATTGAAAGTTTGAATATATCTACTAACTTAAAAGCAAAAACAAAAAACATGTTTTTGTTCCGATATTGGGTCGTCGGCCCGTCACTAAAAAAAAAGCACCTTATTAATGGTTATCAACTTTTCCGAAATTTGATGAAATAAAGGTTGAAGATGAGCAGAAATTCCAATGTGATCATAATGGGTATTCTCAGATAAACTGCAAAACGATTTTCTTTTTATTTCTCCGTTTTCTGATTTGTAATACGAAACTAGATTATGCAGTGATATTTGTGGTTTAGCTCCACCAAAATGTGCACTTTGTATCTCTCTATTGTATTTGCACTGGTAGTTTTCAGAAAAATCCATATGCATGAAAACATCTTGTTTTTCTAATGAATCTTTTGAGGTGTCAGTAAACTGATATTGATGTCTTATGTTTGCAATGTGTTGCATATACATTGGAAGATCATGCTGAAGAGCTTCCATCATTTTTTCTTTGTTACAAATAACGTCTTTCTTTATGTACTTTTTGCATGTCTTCTTAATGCCTTTAACAATTATTTCTTCACTAACTAGTATCCATTTTTATTAATTTCGTTCCAAGTAACTTTTTTTGCCTACTCTCTTCCATTTTATTTTCGCAACATAAACTTTTGATTAAGTCCTCGGGTTGACTGTAATTAAAGAACTTCAAAAGTTTTATTTTTGTAAACAGCAGTCTAAAATTTTCATGTTTTATACAGAGACAGGTCTCTCTAAGGCTGGTTTTAGGCATCAAAACTCAGAAAGGACGACATGCGCAGAACAGAGAATAACTTACTTTGATATTATGGGTTTTGATAAAATTTTGATGTAATTCGTTCATGGAAAAATTCAAATATCTCTTTTGCTTCTTAACTGACCTGAGAGTAACAGTGTCACCTTTGCCTGCAGCATCTCGACTGCATTCATCTCTTAGATAAAACTCATGAGTAGCTGTCTTCCAGTCCTTAAAAAGTCTTTTCCTAGAAGAGATTTTTATAATTCGGTTTTTTAAGCATTTTATAAGAAGCAAAGTTTTTCATTCTTCCAAGAAGTCAGTATTTCTTCATTATTTCTCCAGAAACTAATTTTCCGAATGATTTTCGACGTTTTACAGATTTAATATTTTTAAGATTTTTTGATATTTGTGCTGTTAATGCTTCTGAAAACAGTACTTTTTTTCTCAATGTGTTGAGGGACATTATAACCTTTAAGGCTCTCCCGAACTTTCGATTTAGGACTCAACTCTTCGAATTTTTCCCCATCAGCTTTAATTTTATCTTTTTGTCTATAAAATCGTTTCTTATACTTTTTAATTCATTTTTAGTTTTTTGTAGCTTTAACTTTAATTTTTGAATATATCTGTTTATTTTAGCTTTATTTTTTCGGGATAACTTTCTTCCAGAATCCCTTCTCGAAGTCTGATTCGGAGTCTGATTAAAGTTTGGCTCGTTCAAAAATGGACTGGCTGGTGGCGAATTGCGTTCCGCAAACTCCATTGCAGCTATCATATTTTTCTTAGATTTTCTGTATTTCCTAGAAGCTGTTTTCCATATTTTTCTAATTATTCGTTTAATTCCTCGCTGATGGTTTTTATTTTTACTGTATTTTTTCTCCGGTAGTATCTTTCTCTTTCTGATGCTTTCGCCTTTTCGTATCCCTCAGGATTATTTTTAATTCGCCTTCTTCTCCTTCTCTCAGCTTCTCTCTTTTGCTTCCTTTTTTTCTCAATATCTTTGTCAGTTTTTCTCATTTTGGATCTGAAATCAAAAAGTGTATCAACTCCATGATCCAGTAAAGTACATGGAGTTGATGTCCATGGAGGTGACTTTTTTATGTAAAAAATGAAAAATCGACGACTAAGAGGTATTTAAGGAAGATCTCCGATTGGGCATAACATGTATAATAGAAAATTGAATTCAATAATTAAACATTAATTATAATTCCTGTAAAAAATTAAACCATGGAGTCGACTAAATGAAACTATACTCACCTCGTAATGAATGGTTAGCGTCCTTCATGCTCGTTAAAAATAACACTATCGCCTTCGACTGCTTGGAAGATACTGTTATGTGATTTTAACATAAACATTCAAAGGATAGACTCCCCACCACAAGCGAATTTTATTCGAGAAATACTAAGTATAGACAAGTCCATGGAGTTGATGTAATTCTTAGGGACAGTCCTTTTTCCTTTATTAGTAAAAAATATCATTAAGTTTTTTTTCAAACAAGTAATCAAATAATTCAATGAACATTTGTTTTCAACTTTACAAACTGTAAAACACTTACTGAATGTTCAAAATACATTAGAAAAGCAAGAAACATGTTCAACTTCAATAAGGGACAGGAGTTGGAGATGATTATAAAGCATTTCAAGTTTAAAAAATACTGTACATTTGACAAAATGTAAAAAAAATAATTTTTTATAAAAATTGTTCAAATAAAAGTTGTTTGTAATATAATTCTCTATAATTTTTATTCTATACATAATTTCTCTAAAATGGACCGTATTCGAGATATTTGAGAAAATGTGTAAATTTCGAATTTTGAAGAAAACTCAAAAACGGATATAGAAATAAACATTAAATTTTAAACTTAAGGTTTATTTCGGCCTGACGTGCAATGATTAGATTTTGGACAAAGTCGGAACATCTGGGGGGGTACTTTATGGGAGACCGTTTTTATATTTTATGGAATATATCTGTTATTTATGTTTGGAGAAGAAAATTGTTCAATTAACAGTTACTTCTAATATTATTTTCTATAATTTTTGTTTTATGTCAAAATTTCCTGAAATGGTCCGTATTCGAGAAATTTGACAAAATGTGCAAAATTCTGATTTTTTTTGTTTTTACGTAATAACTAGATAGGAAAGTCATGTGTTGGACACATCAGATTTTTATTTTAATACCTATTTCTAAATTATTATTTTTAAGTTTTTATAAACTCTAGATATTTTTGAATACGAAGTAGATATATATCTACTCGTAAACATTTATTTTTATTTCTTGTTTTCATTAATATGTAGTAAAGTAGCAGGATCCATTATAATCAATAATTGAAGGATAAAAATTTTTATTTAATTTTTGTTCTTTGGTATTTACTTTAGAATAAAATTATTTATTGTTATTCTTTTCTCTCAGCAACTTAAGTATCTACTTGCGCTCTATTTGTTACTAAATTTATTTACTTAATTAATTTGCCACATATTTTACAGATTTTTTTATATATTTAAATTGCTGGGGCCGAGAAAACGTTCTTAGAATAACACATTTATATGCGCTAGCTCAATATCAACATATACATATTGTTTTTGTACTTAATTTTCATCTTCTACATATTTTTTACGTTTCTCGCAACGCTATATGTTTTTAAATATTTATTATCAGAACGTCAGGGGACTCCGCACCAAGGTCTCGGAGTTTAGCAAAAACTTGTCTGCAGAAGAGTATGATGTTGTTATCTTGACGGAAACTTGGCTATCAGAAGACATTAAAAATGGAGAACTATTTAGTTGCAATTACGTAGTATATAGAAAGGATAGGGATACAATTTTAACAGGAAAACAACGCAGAGGAGGTGTCCTCATTGCTGTAAATAAAAATATCATATCTTCACTTATATCAATTAACTCACCTTTGGAAACAATTTTTGTAAAACTTAAACTACACGGAACCACAGTCATTATTAATTCAACTTATATTCCACCGGGCGCAAATGCTAAAGTCTACAGGCAATATCTAGATTTATTTGACAATTTAGATCCCGTAATCACTCAAACCACACACATGGTACTTATTGGTGATTACAATATACCATGCATAAATGGCACATCTTTTCAATTTTCTGATAAAAATGATATAATAGTAACAATGTCTCTATTAATGGCCACTTACAGTCTACAGTCTTTCAACAATTGTCTCAATGAGGATCAAAAAACTCTAGATCTGGTGCTTGGTAATATAAATTTGAATATAAAGGAGAATAAAGAACCTTTAGTTCCCATAGATAATAAACATCCCTCTCTGATAATTAAGACGGAAGTAAAAAAAAGTAATCAACTCACATACACAAATAATAATCTTCAAAGCAGATATAATTTTACAAAAGCTGATTTTAGATTACTATGCGAACTACTAAGGGATTTTAATTGGTCCAAAATTGGACACATTGAAAAGGTTGATGATTCTGTCAAATATTTTTAACAGGTTTTTTATGAAATGCTTGACATATGTGTACCAAAGTTTACTAATAGGCAACATGCATATTGCAAACAGTTTCCGCCATGGTTCACGGATGAAATAAAAATCGACATAAAGTACAAAGAATTTTTCAGAAAAAGAAAACATCTATCGGAATATTATTTTAGTAGATATAAAAAAATTAGGGTGGACCTAAAATTGAAAATAAGGAGGTCTAATAATATATCTGAATCAAATTTTATTATAAATGATAGGGAAATATCTGACAAAAAAATTATAGCAGGGGAGTTCGCTGATTATTTCAGTTCAGTGTATGACAACGATTCAAACTATAACCTTATAGATATTAATGGTTTGACTAACAATTGGAACGTAAATTTTTATCAGAATATTGACTTCGATCTAATATCCGTCAAAGACTTAGAAGCGGCATTTCGAAAGTTAAAACCGAAAAAGACAGCGGGTCCTGATAATATTCCTTGTTATATCCTAAAAGCTTGTAAAGATTATTTAATATACCCTTTGCTGGTAATTTTTAATAAGTCGCTTAAAACATCCATATTTCCTAGTGAATTTAAAAGAACGAGATTAACAGCAATTTTTAAAAAAGGGGATAAAAATAAAATAGATAATTATCGTCCCATAGCCATATTAAATTGTACGGCGAAACTGTTTGAATTTGTAATATATGATAAACTGTATGCTTACTTTCAAAAATACATATCAACCGAACAACACGGATTTTATCGTAAAAAATCTGTAGATACAAATTTATTAACTTTCAGTGATAAAATATCAAAATGTGTCAATTCTCGTGAGCAAGTAGATTGTATTTATACTGATTTTAAGAAAGCCTTCGATAAGGTAAATCACAATATTCTTCTAGCTAAACTGAAATATTATGGTCTTAGCGATCATCTAATAAATTTCTTTATGTCTTATCTAAAACTAAGGTATCAATACGTAATGTTTGGTGGTGAAGTATCTCATACAATCCTCGCAGGCTCTGGGGTCCCTCAGGGCTCCAATTTGGGCCCTCTACTTTTCTTAATATTTGTTAATGACCTTCCTCTACGTATTACATCAGACTGCCTAATGTATGCAGATGATCTGAAAGTTTTTAAGAAAATATCCACCCTAGATGACTATCTAGACCTTCAAAATGACTTAGACTCAATTTCGGATTGGTCATTTGAAAATAAATTACATTTTAATCTTTCCAAATGCAAGGTTATTACATTCAGTAACATTCGTAATCCTCAAAATTTTACCTACACAATGCAAGGATCAACACTAGAAAGAGTGTCAAAAATGACCGACTTGGGAATAGTTTTTCAAAATAATTTCAAATTTGACGAGCATATCCATAACATTACTAAAGAAGCTAACACATTGTTAGGTTTTTTGAAACGCACGACTAGGGACTTTACAGACACACACTCGATTAAAAATGTATTTTTTGCTCTCGTTCGTAGTAAATTAGAATATGCATCCACTGTATGGGACCCTATACAACAAAATTTAAAACACATTTTGGAAACTATTCAAAATAAATTTGTTAAAAAGTATCATACAAGTCCAGGATTTGTTTCATTTAGACCTATTAGAAAAGAGTTTGAAATTGCAAAATTGGAACATAGACGCTCTATAATCAACCTTGTCTTTTTACATAAATTATTAAATGGATATTTGGACAGTCAATATTTATTGAGTCAAATAAAAATTAATGTTCCAATAGCAGGTATTCGTCCACGTCAATTAACTTTTCGTGCGGATAATCATGGTCCAGTAGAAAAAAATTGTCTTTTGTTTAATGTACACTCCGAAGGCATTTCTTGCGGTATTTTTGATGTAGCTATAAGCATATATAGAAAGGAACTTAACAAAATTGTTGGGCTCGATTAAAGAGACATAACCTTGTAGGATTTCCGTGGCCTTGGTGTGGGGTTTTGCAGACGCTCTGATTATTCCTGAATATTTCTGATTATTTCAGTAGTTTTGTTCTTTAATGAACTTTGTTAAAATTTTGTAGTAGCGAGGTTTGTTTATTAAAATTTCACTTATATATTTAATTAGATATTATGTATTTTTGTTGATTTCTATTTTCGCTGTATTTATACGAACATGTAATTAGGCTCATGCCTGTTTGTTTCTGGAATAAATAAATAAATAAAACATAAACTACTATTTAAAGGCAGTTTAAAATGGAGTAAGTCTAAAGGGTTAAACAAAACTGAAAATTGCCCCCGTGTATTTTCAGAAAAAAAAATACTGGACTGCTAATTTAAACCTAAATAGTAAAAATTAAACAAAAGCACCCATAAATAATAATTTTTTAACTGATTTAATTTGCATATGGGCGGTTGGACAACACGGCTATATTCACTTATTCAATCCGCGTACAAAGTTGGCCGCCCGCCATCTTGCTTTGACCGGAAGTTAAGTGTGTACGGTCGCGCGGCACCTTTGAAAAGGCAAGGTTGTTTGTAAACTAGCAAAATGATTAAATTTATCGTGTTTTTTACGATGTATAAATTTAAATAATGACAAATTAAGGCGAGCTTTTGGGAACCATTTTATTGGAATTTTGCGGTGCCGAATCACGAAAAGGAACCAAAAGATAGATATACATGTCGGCACAGTGCTTGGTATTATGTGTATAGCTAGACAAAAATAATCAAACAATATTTTTTTTGTAACAGGAGATTCTTATGAAATTGGAGTCATAAGACAAATTGTGTAAAATTTAAATAAATCTCTCATGAGGTATAATAGGTTATAGAGGGGACAAACAGGAAAAACCTAATAATATCTTTGGTAATTCACATAATTTGACAGCCATAGAAGGTTTAAGTATTAC